GTGAAAGCTCATACCTTGAATAAAACTTTGTTGGTCTTAAAGGTGCCACTGGACTCAAACTTTGTTCTACTGCTTCAGACCAACATGGCTGAATCTTTCCTCTGCCTCTGTACTTGTTTTCGCTATCATCAGGCTTCCAACTCCAGTTCTTAAGTTTTAAAGGCTGATCTGTACATGGCATATGTATCTTTATTTTGGTTTTCTAGGCACACAACATTCTGGATAGATTCTAGTCTGTCGTTTGGAAGAATGCTGAGGAAAAAAATAATGCAGCATCACAGCAAAAACAAACCATCTTCAGAGTACCTTCAATTACTGGGTGCTGAGGTAAAGAACAGGAAACAGCTGGCCATTTGTTATGTACGTGGACCGCCACCAGGGGTCCACGGCTTATTTATTTTATTTATTATTAAATTTATACCCCGCCCTCCCCCGTAGGGCTCAGGGCGGCTTACAGGGCAAGAGAACTTGCTAATAAAAACATCAAATAATTTAGTACATTTAAAACAAAATATACAATTTAAAACCCATTCAAACATTAAAGTGCTCAAACTACATCATCCATTCCATTCCGGAATCTCAGAGAGGATAGCCACATCCACAAACCAAACATCCCCCGGTAGGCATTCCATGATAGATGTTATATCTTTAGAGAAGTTTCTTCCTGCCCACCTAGGGCCCTACCCCTAGGGCTTAAGCAGAAGCTTGGTCTCCAAACATAAAGGGGACCTAGGATCCTAGTCCACCTCGAGTCCACCAATACCACCCTTGGCGGGAAATTCAAACTCTCCTATATGAACACAGGTGTGCCGGTTGGAGTGTATATGGTTGGCCTTGCAGGGTCATTTTAGTTAGTCTTGTTGTGAAGTACAATAAATGCATCTGAACACATGTTGTAGTCTGAGTCCTCCACACGGTGAACCCACCATTGTTTATTTATTAATTAAAACATTTAAACCCCACCTTTCCTCATGGTTATTGGTGAGAGAATGTTGGACCAAAGGCATAGCATAGCATAGCATCATCAATGCATTTAGCCTTTCCTATCAGGAGGGAGAAATTGCTCAGGACATTATGAATAGGTGAGCTAGAAGGACTTGACAAAAAATGAGTGCCCTGTTGAGATACCTGACATTTCTCTGAAAAACAGAACTCCTCACAACAAATAAGTAACTGGACATTTCTTACACTAAAACCCTGACCTCCTAGAAAGATTCAGACAGGTTTGAGATCTCAGACAAGTGTGACAATCTACATGCAATTTTCATTTTTTTTTGTTTACACTCCAGTATTTTCCATGTAAGAAATTCATAACATTTCAAAGCAGCCTCTGCTGCTTTGCTTTCAGCTATGGATCACAGACTGAGGATTGTAATCATACACCTGAGAAGGAAATGTTGATCGAGACCCTACCTGAGTGACTCCTTTCAGTTCCTTCAGCAGCAGTGAGAAAGCTGTGGAAGGCAGCCTGAACGTTGCTCCCTGCTCTAGCAGAAGAAGGGAGGTTCTGTGGAAAGAAGCAAGTTCTGGAGAACTGTAACCACCAAGCCATGACAAGAGAAGACCACAGAAAAAAGAAAATGATGAATCACATTTATATGATGGCAGAGGGATGGAACAGAAAAGCGTGTGAGAGAGATGTTCGAGACCGGCCTGATCTGATGGAGGTTTCTAGTAGTCATGCCTGATTCGTGTCTGGTTTTCTCTGAGTGACCTTTCAAGCAAAAGGAAAAGGAACAGCTGTGGTATGAAAACAGGTGGCGGAATGGAAGGCAATGGAACAGAAGACTGCCACCAGGAAAAGCTTGAGTGCATACAGTTCTGCTTAGCCATTTCTGCCACGGGGGGGGGGGGTACAACTGGAGGCAGGCAGTCATGTCTAAGAGAGTGGAAGGCTGCACAATACGATATTATTGCCTGAATCACTCACAACAAAGCTCCCGGCGACCCGGCAACGCCACCGGTTGCCGGGGGCTACTTTGCCGCCCAGGGGGAAGCCGGGCAGCAACAGACCCATTATGCCTGGCATCGTGACATGGGCGGGGGGCGGAGCCAGCCTGGATAACAGCCAGGCTCCACTCCCGCCCAATGACAGTTGCTCCGATGTGCTCAGTAGCGTTAACAGCTCTGACCACGTTGGGGAGTTGTTCCTAACTTTCAGTAGGCCACCGGCGATTTCACTGCAGCTTCGGGGTTGGCCATAACGGGCAGCAGCGAGCTGACAGCAGTTTAAATTATTTTTTTTTTAAAAAGGCAGCAGCAGCACGACAGTACCCAGGATCGTGATCCGGAGGTGGCAGGGCTCCAATCAGGTCATTTGGTAGCTTGAGCGGTGGGGCCGAAGATCCTCGTGCGGCAGCTTTATGACGCGGCAGCAGGGCACCGGTTGGCATCGGGGGCCTCATCAGTTGCCACAGCGGCATCGGCAGCCGCAGTAGCGGCAAGGCACATGGCAGCTGGAGCGGCAGGGGCACCCCGGGGGCCTGCT